TAGCCAGTTGAGCTATAGGCGCCGAGCCATAATCAGAGTTTTAACAAGCCTTCCAGGTAATTCTGATATACACCATATTTGAGGATCTTGACTTAACACATACTGTTCAGTGTTGCTTTTAGACCTGCAGACCTGATCCTATCTGTGGCTGCAGGTGTGCAATCTCTATACCAGTTGGGTGATCATTCCATTCCTACTGCCCTAGTGACGGGTTCACATAACGCAGGCCAGGTATTACCCTGACTAAGGGGAATTCAAATTTACCATAGGACTGCCTGGGCTTTAAGAGGGGACGTCTGATGAAAAGCTTCTCTATATGCTTCAGGATGATGGTGTTTTAGATTTACTGTCATTTTAGTAATGAAGGTAGCCAGCTTTTAGATAACATTTACAGTGAAGAAGACAGGAGACATAGCACAGAAAAATAAGATGGGGCCAGTCGCGGAGGCTCATGCCTGTACTCCTAGCACTCTGGGAGGCTGAGGTGGGTGGACTGCCTGAAGCTCAGGAGTTTAAGACAAGCCTAAGCAAGAGTGAGACCCCCATCTCTAAAACTAGCTAGGGCATTGTAGCAGGTGCCTGTAGTCCCAGCTACTTGGGAGGCTGAGGCAAGAAATAGCTTGAGCCCATGAGTTTGAAGTTGTTGTGAGCTATGACCCCACAGTACTCTACTGAGGGTGACAAAGTGAGACTCTGTCTCAAAACAGAAAAAAAAAAAGAAAGAAAAATCAAGTGGCCAATGATACCACTGTACATCTAGATCAAACTAACCTGTGAAGCACACCTGTCTTGGGCCTTCCAATTGTACAAGCAGCTAAATCTCTATTGTTTAAACAGGGCATTGTTAGCTGTTACCAAACCCATCTTAACTAAGACGATGTTTATGCCTCCAAATGAACTGAGGACTGACCAGGAAGACAAAGGATCAGGTGACTGAGACCAGTCACATTTTTTTCTCTAACTAGGATTAATAGGATATAAGGCGATTAAAGATCATTTAGAAGGGAGAAAGAGCTCTTATCTCACCGATCCTTCAGTTACATCTACCATGCTGACATTACTTGATTTGGATTTCTTTCAAACTTATTTCCAGTTCTGCTGGCTAGAAGAATGACCTAGAAATAAATCATGGACTATATTTCCTGTCCAAGAAGAAAGAGGTTAATTCTGCAGCCAAGTTTATTTCTGAACCTAGAAGATATGACTGGCATTAGACAAAAGAAAAAGAGGCTGTTTTCAGCTGCTAATCTCTTAAGGGGTATGTATTAATCATAGGGACTTCCATTCCAAAGTGCTGGTTTTAAAACTCTCCATCAATAAGGATCTTATCACCCAGTGCCCTATCTCTGTACAATGAAGGTAGTAGAATACAAATCATCTATTAAGACCTGGAACCAGCTCTTAAAGAATATAAAATAGATCAGGGAAAATAAGACCAACACACATGAAAACAAAATTTAGGATTAAAGAAGGATAAACAGTTGTTTGTCAATTGCTATGAGGTTAACACAAGTTGACTTCAAAGCCACTGAATATAAAATACATTGTAAATGGGTTTTTATTATAAGTTATTTTATTACAATATTTTCTCCCCTTATTTCCTGGTTTTTGTTGTACAAGCTTGAGTATCCCTTATCTAAAATGCTTGGGACCAGAACGGTTCAGATTTTGGAATTTTGCATTTTGGAATGTTTGCATTATAACTGGTCAAACATGCCTAATCTGAAAATCTGAAATGCTCCAGTGAGCATTTCTCCTGAGCATGACCTTGGAGTGACATGTCAGCATGCAGTTTCAGACTTTGGAGCATTTAGGATTCAGAGTTTTGGATTAGGGATGCTCAACCTGCATTTTGTTTTATTTATTCATTTTTTCCCAATAAGAAAAGGAAATATAAACTCACATTCTGTACTTGTTCTGGAAGGTGGAGCCCATTCCTTTTCCCCATTTTAACTGACTTTTCCAAGTATCGTCTGGCTTCAGGTTTTATCTTCCCTAGATCACAGGTTTCCTGAAATTAAAGAGCATGAAAACCATTTCTGTTGTAACAGTGCATGGGTAAATTATAAACTATGAGGGCCATAGCAAATTTATTCATCATCTCTGTTGGGCTGTGAAGCACATAGGTGATTATGAGGCAGGCCTTCTTGAAGACCTCATTTCTTTTATGCTTTACTGAGCTTCTGCTCATTTACAACAGAAAATTAAATAAATAAAAAGCCAACCAGAATTTCCTTGCCTTGCATCAGAATCAAGGGTGCCTGTACCACTTGAAAGTGTGATAATAGAAGTATTTGCATAATCTCATTCTGAGCATTCTTTATGACTGAGTGGTCTTTTTCACAGAACATATTTCTTATCACAAATCGCCTGGATTTAATTTTCTATCATTTGCTAACCTGGTTCCACTTGAGAGGCAGGCATAAAAAAAATGGGTAAATTTTGCAAAAATGCAGAGTGGGCCAATCCTCCCAATAAAACAAGCAGAGACAGCTGGATAAAACCCCAGCTGAAGGCTTTCAACATTTCAAAAATGCCTTACTGTCATTTGCCAAGAGAGATCAAGGGACTACAGCAGGCTGCCTATGAACAAGTATCTGGGGAAAATGAGTCAGCATTGCACAAAGAGGAGGAAAGCTGGACAGTAAATTTGAATCAGTATGCAGCAGCACAAACAACACTCATTCAAAAGAACAGAGGGCCCTGGAGGGGAATGGAAAATTCCCCTGCCATAGCACAGTAATAAAAACACCAGATGTTTCTCCAAAACAGGTAGCAGAATACACATGGCACATCTGGATGGCCGGTCCGTTAGTAGTCCCTAGGAAGAAATGGACTCTACACAGATTCAGCAGGTATAATGGATTCAAGTTGGTTGAGGGCCAGTGAAGGACCTGTCTCTAGAGCCTTACAGATTTCCCGTCGGTTTGACATTTTCTCCATGAAAGACCCGGACTGTTGGCTGGATGCAGTGGCTTATGCCTATAATCCTAGTACTCTGGGAGGCCAGAGTAGGAGGATCCTTTGAGCTCACAAAGTCAAGACCAGCCTGAACAAGAGTGAGACCCCTGTCTCTATAAAAAAAATAGAAAATTAGCAGGGCATCTAGGTGGGTGCCTGTAGTCCCAGCTAGCTTCTCAGGAAGCTGAGGCAGGAGGATCACCTGAACCCAGGAGTTTGAGGCTGCTGTGAACTAAGTGGACAGCACAGCACTCTAGCCTGGGGCAACAAAGTGAGACTATCTCAACAAAACAAAACAAAACAAAACCAATAAACAAAAGAAACCTGGGATGTTGGTCCCTGAGCATCCCTAATCGGTCCACTAATTATATCTGTAAAAGGTGTTTAGCTTTAGAGATGGCATTTTAGACTGTGCTAGACTTGCGCTGCAATCATTCTGCAATTGTGTACATTTTCTTGCAGCAGATATACCAAGTTGTATTTTTTTTTTTTTAAGACAGAGTCTTAGGCTCAGCACCTGTGGCTCAAGTGGATAAGGCACCAGCCACATACACCTAAGGAGGCGGGTTTGAATCTACCTCAGGCCTGCCAAACAATGACGGTTACAACCAAAAAATAGCTGGGCATTGTGGTGGGTGTCTGTGGTCCCAGCTACTTGGGAGGCTGAGGCAGGAGACTCACTTGAGCCCAGGAGTTGGAGGTTGCTGTGAGCTGT